GGCTTCGCTCCAGAAACTGAGATTTGTTTTAGTCTAGGGTCCAGGAAGTGGTTCTTTTTGTTTTGTTTGTTTTAGTAAACTTTTAGAATTATTTTAGGTTTACACAAAAGTTGCAAAAATATATACATCTTGCCCTAATATTAACACATTATCATAGCACTTTTGTTAAACTGAAGTCAAGATTATCATATTAACTCCAGACTTCATTTGGATCTCACCAGATTTTCCACTAATGTTTCTTTATCTGTTCCAGGATTCCACTCATTTCTTACAGGCTTTCATCCCATGAGAGGTAGATGGTCTAGGGACCACATCTTGTGAAATACTAGGACACGTAGAGGACCAAGCAAGGTCAAACTGCCCTATCCTCATCTTGGGAAGATGAATGCAATTTTGAAGCAGAAGGGAATAAACTGGTGAGGCTCTGGAGGGGATGGGGGTGGATACAGAAGTTTGATTTTAAGCCTTGGGATGGAATTGCCTCCATTGGATGAGAGGGGTTACCTTAAGAGTGAGGCATCTGTTCCTAACGCCAGGTGACACAAGTTGTGGAGTCTGGAACGTGGGGTTGCTGCTTAGCCTGAGGAGATACGTCTAGAATTGTGGGCAGGTCAGGGGACTGAGTGCAGCAGATGGGGAACAAGCACCTTGAGGAAGGCCCAAGTAGTTGATTAAAGGGGATCACAGGGACCAGTTAGCCTGTGAGCCATATAAATCCTGTACTCCTGGAATCTGCTGATAAGGCTTTGGAAGTGGATCACAGTAGTAACCAGCATCAAGCACTGCCACATTTGGCACTAGCAGAAAGTCAGAGGGTGAAGCTGAGATGATCCTCTTGAGAGAGGCCAGTGGGAGGTGACCAAACACTGAATCTCTGCCTTTGGAAGTGTCACTTCCCACAGGGAGGAAATACAGGGCCACCGTCTGGGGAGCCAGAAGTAAAGGTTAGAAATGAGAATGCTAGGATGAAGGAATAGATGTTTTAAGAAAAAGTTAGGAGAACAATCTGAGTAGGGATGGACACATTCTTGAGTACCTTAGGTTCTGAGGCTGTCACTGAATTTTTCTAATATTCAAATTACTAGCTCCCTTCACATTTACCTGGGCCTTTTTTAAAGAATGTTAACCACTTTTCATTTGACTCTGGATTCCTCTTAATTTCTACTTCACTTTGCTAGTTCTTTCTGCATCCTAGAGATCCCTAAACCACAAACTGGTATTCTTAAAATTTGTTTCACATTAAGTAAATTGTTCTCTCATCTGCCAAACCCATTTAAAATAGACTAAATTGCCTCAGAAACCAGACTGCACCTGTGGACAGAATTTGCTGAAAGGCTCCTGGATTTTATTTTTGCTGGCAGTGTCAGGCTGGCCAGGGTGGTAAGTGGCCAACAGTTAAGATCTTAGGTGATCTAATCCTTGGTAGATGCTGGGATAATCGAGATTCTGCACAGAAACGAGCACTTGCTGAGAGAGGCTGTCAAGTGCTTTACCAAGTAGCTCCGAACTCTCAGACTACAGCTTCTGGGTGAGGAACAGTCCTAGTCACTCTACACGTGGTTAGAAGGCTTGTGTGATCAAAGAGTTCAGGTAACCTACATGCTGTAGGGAAACACTTCCAAAAACATTGCATAACCTGAAATATAGAGTGAATGATTTTCCAGTAAATACTTGACTTCATCAGCACTTTTAAAAAATCAAGTAATGGTTTACCTTATAAAATGGGAAAACAAATGAAACATGAGCTGTTATAAAACCAGGATTTAGCAATGTTGAATTTCAATAATGGGCATACAGGGTACTTTAGATGTGATAGAATAGGGTCATGATAGAATCTGATACAGAATGGAAAAAACTTCTCAAACACTGGGCCCTAAGTTGTCTTAGGGTGAACCACGTGAATTTAATGTAGAAAAATGACAATTTCATTTGGTTCAAACATAGATTTGAAACCTTTGTCTTGTCCTTATAAAGTTCAGTTCACAGTATTCCAGTTAAAATTGCACCGTCAGTATATTCCAAAAACTAAAAATGAAAATAAATTTGAGTTGAGGTACTCTTTTATAGTCTTAGTACTTTAGGGAATAAACCCTTCCTAGGTATAAAATCTCAACACTACCCTATTGCCCCTACTAGGAACTAGTTTTCATGCCCTATAGTATTTATGAGGACCTTTAAGTTTTCCATTTATCAAAATGGCTGTAACTGTCTCTAGAATTAACACCGAAAGAGCAATTTTTAGTGATTCTAACTTGTCTTCAAACTACAGTCGTGTCCAAGCAGTGTTCCTACCCCCACTTTTTTTTAACCTTTGACCACTCAAGATGTGACAGCATTTCTGCTTAGTAACTGGCATATTATTACATAGTACAAACTATCTTAGTAACAGTGATTGTCATAGTTTTTCTCTCCTTCTACACTAATTCAGATTATTTCTCCTAATCAACAACTTACCAAGAACAAAGTTAAAAGATCTGACCTTAAGTGAATTAAGGTGGATGAAAACACAACAATACTATCAGGAGTGATGGAATATTGCTCGAGTGCAGTGACTAGGGTCTTAAAGAAACCTTATGGTGATTTGGTATATTACATGGCTTGTTTAACAGTCACCCTCTTTATAACAACCACAGTTCTACTTCCTCTTCTTCCATTTTCTTTCCTGTTCAGTGGCTTGAAATCCTCAAGTAACTCATGTTCTGATTCAACAGTATTTCTGTAATTCCTTTCTGTGTTTTACCTTTTATCTTCCAATGTGCTTTTTTCCCCTGTTGGTACAATAACACACAATTCCAAAGTGCCATCTAATGCACTATGCCACTGAGCACCACAGCCAGTGATTTTAAGTGTACTAAATTATCTTCTGGTTGAAAAGAACATAAGCCAAAGAAATAAATGCCTCTTAACTAAAGGCAACGGTCAAAACAACTTTTGAATGGTTAGTCGGAAAATGCTTTAAGGCCTGCCTATCAGAGCTGATTGAAAACATTTGAGCTAAGCAGAACCGTAATGTTATGTGAACAGTGAAAACGTGCAGAGCAGTCACGTATTTTAATTAAAATAGTTTATTAGCTTTTCTTTTAATATAAACATGAGGAAGAAAAACCACATAAGTTGTAGCATTCTTTTCAAAATAAAACTGCAACCAATACTTGAATCTCCAAGCTCCATAAACAATATTTTTTGAGGTGGTAGATTGTAATATTTTATACCCATTATTTATCATTTATGTCTCTGTCCTTTAAAAATGATGGAACCTGTGGCACTCAATATAATGTGAAGCCTTGCTATAAAGAGAGAAAGTATTTCTGGCCCAGAAATGCTTTGTTTACAGGCAAAATTCCTAGGATTACATTTGAGAAGGTAGGAGAAAGATTTTACATAGTTGAGAACACTTTTTTTTTTAATGTTTCAAGTTTAGGTGATATCATTACTAATTTTCTAAAAGACTGATTACTGGACTGCCCTGTCTTTTAATGGGCTTCCTGGTGACTAAGTGGTAGCCTGTGTTTTAAAAAGCCTGAGGTAAGGGTTCCTAAGATTTATCTTTCCTCAAGTAACACCCTGAAGTGACACACCTACAGGTTAACACAGAACAGAAAAGCTGTTCATCACTTACTTTCCTGTCACTACTATGAGGGTCCAGTTCCTTTCAATTTATTACCGAGAACTAATGCTGTTGTTCATAGTTCCTTTGCCAAATCTAGAAAAAAGAAACTTCGGTGCTCAAGCAGATAAACAGCCCAGCCAGGCACAGGACTATTTTAAAAAGAGGAGGCCAGGTCTATAAAGAATCAAGATATCCTCCTGAAGTCTTTGTGCAATTTGAAGCTTTGATACTTGTAGAAATATAGATGCTACGAACTTAACAAAACATCACCTGAGAGTTTACTTCAATTTCTTCTGAACTCATTTAGTTTTGTAAATTTTAAACATTAAGCTCTTAATTTTAATCTTTTGTTTCAGCCTATTTGCCATCTTCAAGAGGGACTGAAACAAAAAATTCAAATTAAAAGCTTAACATCTAAGATTTACAAAACTAAATGAGTTTAGAAGAAATTCAAGTAAACTTTCAAGTGATACTTTGCGTCTGTAGCATTTATATTTCTGCGGCAGTGTCCTGGAGTGTCCAAGCACACTGTATTAAAGCTTAAAATTACACCAAGACTTTTGGGACACCTTCTATTTCACTATCTGCTTATTCCTGGACTAACAGGTTGGCTGGAATTATGAAAATATCCTTTAATACAAGTATTTAACAAAGAGGAAAATCATGAGAAAATGAGAAGCACCATTAGAGTTAACAAGAAGCGCAGCAGGGACCCAACAGAAGTAGGTAACAACATACTTTCTCTGCTTATGATCCCAAACATGCTAATATGCTAATAAGTAGTGCTTGCAAAAAATCTGAATGACAAGTGTTATTCAGCAGCTTTTTGGTTTAAACTGATTGCCAAAAATGACTAGCAGCTTCAATGAAGTAGTAGGGAGGAAGAATCCTTCAAAACCTAACAATGATACAACAGTCTGTTCCTAAGTGGCTTTATGAGTTGTTAGGAGTCCTATGTTTGAACGGTAATACTGCATTGATTCTAAAGGAATATGCAGCAATATGGGCAAGAAAAATAGGAAAAAGTAAAAGTTATATAGTTAGTGTCTTTAAAGTCTAAAAATTTAAACTATTAAAAAAAAACCTCACATAGTTCACAGTTATCAGCCTACATAGTAAGCAAATATCTGTGGGTGGGTTGGGAGCTTTTAGCTTTGGAGTGGTTTTTGTAACTCTGTTTACATTAAAAGGGACAGAAGAGTGTGTTGCCTTGACAAGGTCCAGTTTTTTCCTATGACCATAATCTTTGTTGTCCGCAAGTCTCTTGAATTCAGTGTCTTTCTTCTAGGTGAAAATACTAACTTTGCTGGTTTCTGAGCAGGAGAGGTGGTATTTCTCCAGTCCTTGTTACGAGGGGTTCATGATGTTACAACCCCGCACCTCTCACTGTTTATGAGAGGATGGCATTGGAGCGCTGAATACCAATGAAATTATCAGCGCTGAAAGACCTTCTCACAGCAACTCTGCAGAAGTCTTTGTATTTGTCTTCACACAGTCTGGAGATGGCCTAAGAAAGTCAATCAGACAGAACATAAGTATAATTGGGGGGAAAAGTTCCAACCTTAAAGAAAGCAGCATTGATAAGCCACACATCTGCATTCATTTAGGTTCACAGTTGTGCTACTTTGGATAGCTCATATCTACACTGCTGATTCCCTAAGATAATATTCTTCAAGGGCTATGATGAGATTGCTGGGGCAGGGAGGAACATATTTAAAAACTGGGTTCCCAAAATAGGCCCCATCTAACAGCAATATGATGTTACCTACATACTAGATCCTTAAACATAATGAACACACCTGAGCAAAATCAGTGTTTACCCAGCTATTCAACTTCTATTCAGTCTTCATTATTTACTACACACTCTAAGAAAATTTTAATGAGGTAGGTGTGTGTTGAAGGCAAGAAAGGTCTGATGAAGCACTACAAGGTGCTATTTCACATGCATGTAAATTATCATAGAAAAATGTCTTATTTCTAAAGTACCAAGGTACTAGAAAAAGTGTCAACTTTATATGTATTCATTTCAGTTGTAAATTTTGCTGTATACCCACCAGAAATCACAAACTACCTCAAATTACTCTTCAAATCACTACTACAAATTACTTCATCCCATGTATGTTACCACTTCCATTAAAAACCCACCTACTTTCTACATCCAGTTTCTGAACCCACATTGTAATTTCCAAGTATAGGTCTCACAGGTTAGCCCCTGATGCTTCTGGTCTAATAAACTCATGGGGCTGAACAGTGATACACACACACACACACACTGTAAGCTCAGACATTAAGAGTGGTAAGTAATTATCAATGTACATATGATTAAGGATACAATTATAAGAAATTATTCCTGTATGGTTATATGTAAGTGTGGAGGTTCAAATAGAAAACCATTAAATGAACAATTAAATCTGATTTAAAATATTCTGAATTATGGTTACATAAGAGATATCTGTAATTTAAAAAAAAAAAAATGTGAGATCTCTGTCTAACCCATAAAAGACACAGGGAATAAGATGCCAATGGGTTAATAAGCTCTTCAAACTGTTAATTTAACAGCTTTTCATTTTCCTAGTCACTGCTTAGTGTAAGTTAGCCACAGATGCTGGCTTTGGTGGCTGACAGAAAACCCAGTTAGTGAATCCACAGTCTTACCTCTAGGTTCTGTGCTCTTTCTTTGCTAAGAGGAGCAAATAGAAAATTCAGGTTGTTGTCATCTGCTAAGGAGCGAAGGTCAAAGTAGTATTTGGCATAAACACTGGCGGGAACATTAATATTAAACTGAAGGAGCTCCAGAAAGTGCCTTTCCATCTCATTCCTGGGGGAGGAGAAGACAAAACCAACACAGGACAATTTTAGTCAACTGGGCTATCTTCAGAAACCCCATTCTGTGCCACGACAGCTCTAAATACAGTCTTGAAACAAATAATGGCTCCCCAGCTGGATTAATACACTAATGTTCAAACAAGGTGCAGCTATTTGTGGTCCTTCCTGCGTCCTGGCACTTGGAGTTTGGGACAAGGGGGGAGGTTACGGCCCTCTTATGCACCCATGCTGCTGACTCGGGGGCTCATTCTTCAGAGTTCCATTAGTGCAGCCGTGCATTCATGCTCCACGCTCACTCACAAGGCCCCACTATAGTCATCAGATGAAAGGAATGATGTATGCTGTTTATTAGCTCTGGAGAACTTGCAGACATTTTCACCAGGCGATAACAGGAAGGGGCTTATTGAAGTAGAGACACGCCAACAAAAGGAGTAGGCACATCACCACGGCAACAAATGGGGCCATGGAGAGCCACTGCTATTATCTCTGAGGGGAGAAGACTCTTGAGGCAACAAGGATTCATCTCAGATAAATAAATAAATAAGCTACACTCGATGCGAAAGGGAATCCCCTCCCCCTGCTCCAGTGCAGGGGACTGTGGCAAAGGGCAGAATGCAAGTTTCTGTTCCTCTTAACCCCAGCAGGACGAGAAGGTGTTCCTGGGACAGGATGGGATACACTTTTTAAGCTATGGGAGGCAGTAGGATTAAGGGGAGACCTCTTGGCTAGATTAAATGCACCTGAGCAATGACCCCAATGGAGCAGTTCCCCCTGTGCTCCGTCTGCCGGCCCTGACTAGGACAGAAGGTGCATACACATGCAGGGGGCGAATTCAATGCAGTGGGAAAGTAGGGTGCTGGGAGCAGGTCTTTGCTATGGGAACATACACAGTCATTTGCTTGTCTAATGTTTAAGTAAATAAACAAAATCAGAGTAAGTCTTACCACTTTCACAGCAATCACTTTAAAGAGTTAATTATATAAAAATGATAAATACCCAAATGAAAGTGACTTATTTTTCAAAATATTTGTTTCCTAGTTTTAAAGTGTTAATAATATTTTATCCACTGGCAAGTCATCAAATGTTTGATGTTCTCCTGCGTGGAGAGCAGAGTGGGAGCAGAAATGAGGTTTCTCATTTGTTGAACTTTAAACCTAACTGAACCTACCTTCAAAATTAATTTCCTGTTCATATGGCCGTAAGTCTATAGAAATGTAAATCAGATAATGTTTTGATAATCAGCTAATCAGGACTTAATTTACTACAGGAATAAATGCACTTCACTATCCCTTTTATATTCTCTTCCACTAATACATTTTAATTGTGTGGAAATACAGTACTTCATAGGATTAACATGTCTATTAACAGAGCTTTACTTACTGAAGGAAAAAGCATTAGGACTACAGAATACGCTTCTGCGTTTTTTTTTTAAATGACTAGATGACTGAAGAGCATGCCATTTATAGGCGCAGCAAATTTTCTGAACAGCAGCTGCTCAATATATTCAAACAAGATACATGGATGTTAGAAAACTTTTAAGGAAAAGCTGATAGATGCCAATTTTTCAATTTAGACTCAAAATGAGACCATTACAAATAGCAGCCAACAGCAGGGGGATGAGACAAATGTGACTTGAACACTTGGTTGTAATGCTTTCCAATTTCCAAAGATCATAAACAAAAGCAGCCTATTACGAACACAGCTCCTGGTGATTCTGTTTTACACAGAAAAGTGCTGTTTACAATTAGCTTCTTCCTGTAGCTAGACACTGCCATCAGTGCTGCTGGGCTCACATCTATGAACACCCACACACTTCCCTGCATGCTCTCTGATGCTGTAACTGGACCCAGAGCCCCCGTCAGCTTAGTTGCAGGTTCTGAGAAAATTTCAGCTGCCATCATTGGCAGACCTGGTGTTTATGATTACACGTTTTCCTTTCTTCAAGGAACCAGTTTAAAGATGGATGATAGTGGTGCTCAATGTGACTTTAGCTTCCACAACTTCCAAAAGTACTTCTACTTATCTCGAATTATCTGCTGTAACACTAAGGTGGCTACCAGCAATATCACCATGACACTTTTTATCATCAAAGTGGACATTTTCACCAAAAGCCACTTTGACAGCTACCAACAATCACTGGTCCCTTCTCTTAGTCACAAGCTGCTTTGCTTCAATTGTAAATATGCACTTTGGTAATTCTGAATTAAGAGTCAGGGGCAAAGGTAACAAAAACAAACTCTTGCCACTGCCTGCCATGACTTTGATCGTCCTCTGCTGTTCACTATAATAAAGAGGTACCCCTTTACGTGTTCCTAAATGCCACCCACAAGGACATTTTCGCTGTCAAGTGAGCACTTCTAGAGTCTGCTGCAAATGCCTCTGCCTCCTGCTGCCTCCCACCTCAGGGCCCTTCCCCACAGCCAGACTGCGAGCCTGATGTTTCCTGCCCATGGGAGCGTGCCATCTGTGAGGAACCCCCCTAGTTAACTCGAGGCCCCATCGAGTACCGCTGTGGCTGCTGAGTGCCCCGGGTGAGGCCCCACTGACACTTCCTGGGCTACCTGAGACAAAGGAGTTTTCTAACTCAGCAGACCTATTTCTAAACACGGGGAACACTCCTGACAGCGGAGGAGACAGAACAGAGATCTGAAACCTTTCTATTTGGTCATCTGTACCATCATGGTTTCCATAACAACAGAACCTTAGAGACAACCTCAGATTACAAAAGAAGAAAAGACCTGCAAAAACAAATATACAGTGTGTGACTCAAGTTGAAGTTATAACCTCAGTAGTCTGGAGGTGCTAAGACATCAGCAGTGACCACTTAACTTCCAAGGCCAGACATGTGTCTCTTAAAAACAGACTGGACCTGGTAGACAGCTTTAAGAAAGACGTGAAGTTATTTACTGCATCATGTTGTTCTGGTAGTGAGCTTGTAAAACGGCAAAAACCACCAGAAAAGTAATTTCAATTTATCAAGCAGAATATTACAACAATAACACACCAAGATTTAACTAATTAATGATGGGAAATACATATGGTTATACTTCAGCTAGACAGAAAGAAGTCTAATTTTATATTTATACCTAATTCAGCTCTCTGCGCAATGTAACCTTTCTTAAAATGTAACATTTCTTAAGACGTAAACTTTATGGGAGCAAATAAGGTATTGAAAATGGTTAGACAGTTCACCGTAACCTTACAAACTCACATGTCCTCAACTGTAATGTCCTTCAGGATCTGGCAGTAGTCCACATTCCAAACAGCCTGATCGTCCCAAACCTTGGAGGCAAGAAGAATGGCTCCCAAAACAATTCTTTTCCAGTTAGTGGGGCAAATGTCGATCTCAGCATAAGTTAAAAGCCTTTCTAAGTAAACCTGCAAAAGTAGAGGACTGATCTTTGATTTTAGTTCAGTTTAAGGGCTGTGATAAGAACTGTTAGGAATGATAGTTTTCATCTGTTTTTAACATGTCTTTTATTCTTTGGTTCTACAGAGACTTTTGCTTGGCCAGCCAAGGCCAAAGGCCAGGTCACAGTTGTAAGGCAGATATTTCTGTTAGTCTGGTATTTCTACTCTGCCCATGTGAATTTCCAACCCAATTTTGGTCGCAGGAATGAAAGGACATCTCAGCATTCTAAAGACAGGCATTGTGTTATTACCTTCACACTTGTAAAAGGCAGCACATATAGCCCAGCATTGATTCAATTCAATGCTTGAGTGCCTACTGTGTGCAATGTACCTACCATACTGGTGGTGGGTACGTGGCAATTTTACATAAAGCTTGAGTATGTAAAACTCTGGTAAGACTGAGCAGTGCTTGATCTTCTCTTCAGAGGATGAACCTGAAGATAGTAACTGGTGGTCAAGAGAGCCTCCCAGTGGCTGCTGCGTGGCACAGCAGGACAGGCAGTACAGAGCAGCTTTACATCACCACATTCAGGGCCTTTTAAGGAAGATTCATGCACAAAAAGAGCTTTTTCTCATATCCCCTATTTTTCACATCTCTATTATTTCATAATTCATTTGTCTTACATATTCTGCAACTTAGTCAATTTTTTTGGTTCTAAGGTGACTAAGAGCTGCCGGTGTCTGAATCCCTGGGGCTCCTCTAAATCTGCCTGGTAGTTTGTGGGATGACTTCATGGCTTCTTTTACATGTGTCAAATGGCTATTCTATAAAGAACCAGACCAAGTTAACAGCTGAGTAAAGATTAAAGACATAAGTTGTGATGGTGTTACCTCTGCAGAAGAGAATATATGCCATTTGACAAAAAGAAAAACGTCCCGTTATCAGATTGACATCTCCGATCTGCCAAAGCTCTCCAAACTCAATTATGTTTCAAACAGTTACTGAGATTATATACTCTTAGTGAACGTCTGCCTCCACTCCCCAGCGAACTCCGCAAGCGCCAGTACTCTCTAAGAACGTGTCCCACAGGGTCCGCCCCTCTACTTTATGGCACTGATAGAGGCAGTTCAACCTTAGGGGCAGTCCCTCAATTTCACTAAAGGCAAACCTGGTCTCATTTACACCACTTGCCCTCCTGTCTCAGTGGAAGTGACATCTCTTTCTTTTCCCTGAAGCTAACTCTTCTATGAATGAAGTCAGTCCCACCTCTCATTTCGGCAGAACACTGTTCCCACAATTCATCTCTTCTTGAACAACCCCCCTGTCTGTCAGATATTTTCTCCAATGTTCTCAGCCCATCCGTCACCACCCCTTAGAACACTTCCCTCAGGAAATGTTCTGACACTGGCTCCTCATGACCCATCCTCTCCTTAGCCCATTTAGTCTGCCCCTGGCCGCCACTGCCCCGCTGAAACTACTGAGGCATGGTCACTGCTGCCTTCATGACAAACAGCCAGAGCTCTTCATCACAGCACCCTACTCCCCAGGCCTGCCCTCAGAGCTGAGAGACCCTGCCACACGCCTGGCTGCTAGGACCAAAGAGTTATCTCACTCCCATCTGTTGGGAATTCTTATTTCCACTTTCACTGGTCACTTGCCGGATCTGCTCTTCTGTCCGTCACTTCTGGCTTCTATCACTGCCATTGCCTCCTAACTTCTCTGCTTCCACTGACCGCCAACCAGTCTGTTCTCCCCAGAGCAGCCAGAAGAGCCTCTCAGATTAAGTGCACTTCACAGGCCTGCTCAATATCTGCCAGGGCTCTCCCATCAAACAGGTCACTTCTGTGGCCTGCTTAGTTATGAGGCCCTGTGTGAGATGCCATCGTCCTTCTGTGACCTCATCACCTGTGCTTTCCCTCATTCCCTACTCTCATCACAGTGGCACCTTGCTGATCCCTCAACACAGAACCTGTTCCTGTCTGTGCCTTGTGCTCTGCCCCCTGCCTGTGGTATCAGGCCCATCTTCCTCAGTCCAGCCAGGTCCTGGTTCAGATCTCACCTCTGTAAAGAGGCTCTTCCTGGTCTTTCTAGCATGCATGCGTTAAGTCGCTCAGTCGTATCTGACTCTCTGACTCCATGGACCTGTCTGGCTCCTCTGTCCATGGGGAATTCTCCAGGCAAGAATACTGCAGTGGGTTGCCACTCCCTTCTCCAGGGGATCTTCCCAAACCAGGGATGGAACTAAGTCTCCTGCACTGCAGGCAGACTGCTTCCTGTCTGAGCCACCAAGGGAGCCCCTCTAATCTCTCCATCCCTCTACCTTGCTCTCTCTCTCTAGCTTTCACTACCACTTCAAATAGTCATCTTTTAAAAAACAGTCATTTTAAAAAGCCTTACACTCTGCAGTACACCTGATACTTACACACACTGTAAATCAACCACACTCCAACAAAAACTAAGGAAAAACAAAAACCTGTACGTCTGCTATACTTACCTCAGAAAGGCAAGAACTCTCCTCTATGCCCAGCACTCAGAACCGTGACACAGGCAGGCATCTGGTGCATATTTATGCCCTAAGGAACTCCTTGGCAGCACTCAGCATGTGCACCATGCTCTCCTTCTTCAAGCTCTCCTGGGTTTCCTACCACTCCGGCCACTCCTCTGGGGATGTGTCCTGTAAGTGCTGATAGTTTCCACAGATCTATCTTCTCAACTTTTATTTAACGTACTTCCTCTGCATTTGAACAGCTACACGTAATTCCCTGCCTCTTGCTCAGCTTCAGGCTCCAATCCCATACAGTCAAATGACTGCTAGACACTGTCACTCTGCTGTCTCACAGGTCCATCGGGCTTGGCTACAAAGAAATGCCCCTCTTCCAACCCACATACTCTCTCCTGCCTGCATTTCCCAGCTCTCCACGTGCCAGCGCCACTCCTGCCTCTCAAGCACATGCTAACTAAGCACGGTAACTGGCTTGCAGCTCCAAGAAAAGGCCTGTGTCTGACCCGGGGCCCACTGAGGGGAAGCCTCCTCTCCTACACTCTGCCTGCAGGGGCGCAGGCAGTGGTGGACGTATGCCCTCCCCTCAGACCATGCAGCTGACTCCCCTATAGGTTTGCTATAGGGAGGAGTTAGGCAATCCCAACTATCTTTCAGCTGAATATGATATATTATTCAAATGATAAAATCTTACCATAGGAATTCAGTATGGATGACAGAAAGGTCCTCACATAGCTGGAGCTTGGCAGGCTAACTTGAGTAAAGCCTTTCCAAGCACTACTGACACCCCAGGCCTGGGTACCTTCACACGTAGGCACCAGAGGACAGTAGAGATGGTTAACACTATCGTTCAAGGACAGGGAGGTGAAGGCAGTCGGTCTCAATCAAGACACACATCACAATGCCTAGGCAACACAGCCTGAGACTCAGAAACACACTGAATCAACACCTGCCGTGGACCAGGAAGTTCAGTGATCGCCTGCATCCTACCACCCAGCACACTTTGCCGGTGCATACCTGTGTGCACTGTGTGTGCATGCGTCCTGAGGTGTGGAAGGAGAAACCAGAAGTCTCTCCTGCTGCCTTTAACACCAATTGTTTTGTGATGAGAAAAGCAATGGCAACATTTTAAATCATGATGATTACTAACGCTCAAATCTGTGTGTTTTACTTCTTTTTGATACATTTCTCTTTAATAAAGTTCTGATGATCATTTCAGGAACCTACTTTCATTTGAAAAACAGGCCCATACCTTCTGTACAAGAAAAAAATTTCTAGAGATGCTTCTATTAAGAGAAAAATGTATTACCAAAGTCACTATTGCACATTCAGCAGTCAGCTGGGCGGCACTGAAAAGAGTACGAACAAATCTGTAAATGAATTTGTGTTCAGGATCATGCTTAAAGTACTCCTCCGGAACCTTTTCTCGCTGAAAGAAGAAAAAACACAATATTAAGTATCCACTGAAGAAAAATACTTAGAAGTACCCTCAAGACAGCAATCTTCACACGTGGGCCTACATGCTACTTAAAATAATTTTGACTAGGTGACATGTCTTGTAGTCTTTTAAATATAAACAATGGGATCCTAAAGTACCGTAGTGATTCAATACTCACTACCATTCATTAAAGAAAAATGCAAGCACAACCTCAGAAAATATATTTTCACCTTCTTCCCCAAAGAATTCTAACCAAATGCAAACTATTTTTAGGCTCAAAAGTCTTGCTGATCATTGTACATCATCACACTTTTCTGCAGTCAACTATGAAAACACCTTTCCAGTGTCCTGTAACCAGAGGTTCTAAGAGTGTGCTCTCTTACACAGCAGTCACCAGTCACATGTGTCTACTGAGCACCTGCAGAAGTCAATTTTTAAACCCTGTCATTTTAATTAGTTTAAAATTTAAACAGTTTTTAAATTTTCTCCTTAGAGGTCTAACATATTTGTTAGGAAATGTTTATACTGTGTGATGCTATGGAAAATCATCCTTTAAAAAGCTACATTTTCTGTTACTTGGGTATGTTTACTTACCTGCTCACTCGTCATACAAAGCGTAACTCAGTTCTTATCAGTCACACCCCTGACACAACATGCCTTTGGTAAAATGACTAGACATAACATGGGGTAGGGGAAGAAGACTTAAAGGAAGACAATCTTGGCTTTGAGCTGTAGGCAGTAATTTTCTTCTAGTAATTAATTTCAAAGCAAATCAGCATGAAATAAACACAACTGTAATAAGAGAAAAATACACCTTCAATAAAAGTGACACTTACTGTGAGTGGATGTGATCTCTCATCAAAAATATCCAAGGATCTATTGGCATCTCTATAAAATAAGAATGGGTATTTTAAAAATTAATTCAGGAGTTACTAGCTTAGTAAAGTATCTGCTAAAAGTAGAGAGAGGAGTAGAGGAAGCTTAACCTTAATAAAGCAAACAGTTTTACATATTCTTCTGGATTCTGCCCTTAGAAAGGTTTTCTAACCTATTTTATACTCAGCATACCAAGTTGCATGAAATCTCTTCTACAACCAGCCAGAGCTGCCTTTACCTGCCTGTCTTCTAACAGGCAATGTTCGTAGACCAATACATTTCCACTTCACTAACCTCACAATAGAATATACAAGAACATTTTATAAAGTGGTAGTAGTGGGCAATAGTCTTCTAACTTCAATGAATGTAAATATGAGATTCATGCTTTTTTCTTGTCTCCACACCCTTTTGTTCTTTATATTATATTCTTATTGTTTATTTCTTCTTGTCTCTTTTAAATAGTTTGAGTTAAAAATGTTAATTGTCTTTTAAAAGAGACCAGGCTTTTTATTTTAAATTCCACCACACTACTACACTGTGCCCATTTAAACAGCAGTTCTGCAAATGTGGTCTATAGGCCTCTGGGACTCTCCCCTGGCCCCTCCTCAGAAAGCCTGTAAGTCCAAGAGGTCAAAACTGTTTTTTATAAGAATACCAAGATATCACCTGCCTTTACACTGTTTGACACTTAACTATGATTATATAAAAGCAAAAGTGAGTAAAATTGCTCATTTCTGAGTGTGAATCAACACAGTGGTATGAAACTAAATTAGAAGTCATTCAGTTATTCCTGGCCAAATGAATGTAAAAAATCTGCTTCACTTAAGAACATCCTTGATGAAAGAGTAAAAATTAAGTGTTCTTAAACCTTTACTCTTCTTCATATTCTGAGTAAGTGGAAAGTATGCATTAAGCACTTGTATGTACCGAAATATGGCTGTGCTAAGGAAGAGCACTTGTAACTTACTGGTAATCAAGTCACTTTTTTTTCCCCTAGAACATCATATTTAAACCACTGTTTTCATGAAACACCAACTGACAGTCATTTTTTCAAAAATGAACAAGGTGAGCCTGTCACTTCAAAGAAAACTAAACTATTTGTTGCCAATGATAAAATTCAAACCATCAAGCTAAAAATATTAGGATTTTTGGAAAACTTGTACCTTCCAGTGTGAGCTTTATTTATGGTGAGCTTGATTTCTCAATACTTAGAGACTTTTCCAATAAGACTGGTAGTGATACTAACAAGAGTGAGTTTTTGACACTGTTTAAAGACATGTGAACCAATACTTTGCAAATGACAATGCATAATATTATAAAATCATGTACAAATAAAAAGATCCACTCAGTATGCATGACAGATCAATGGGCATTAGTTTAACATAGTATCTACTTCAAGTTCACTGATAATGACTTGGAACTCCATCTTAACTAATTTAATAAACTAGCACATGTGGATTTTGGGGACAGTACCAAAGAATATGTCAAATTATCTCAAGGCTTTAAAAATTCACCTTTTCCCAACTGGATCTTCATATTGCTTCTTCAAAGCAAATGACTGAAGACAGTATTGACATGAAAATCAACTGTCTCCTATTAATGAGATACTTTCCTCTCCACTATTTTGTTGTGAAAAATGGTTATTTTTCATTAAAAAAATGACTTATGTTAAACACTGGGGTCCCCAGTCAGATGGTGATCTCATCCCTCAGGAGACAGTTTTCCTGTCCTAATGTGGAGAGAAGCAGAACACCTTACTTGCACCTACAGAGCAGAGGCTGGGGTGCTGCTAAATACTCTGCGACGCACAGGGCGGCACCCCACACCAAAGAAAGCCTCATCCAGCTCAAAACTTCAGCAGTGCTAAGGAAAGCCTGTTTTAACATACAGTGGATTTAATTTTTTAAATTTTCAACTTCAATTTCTAATACAGTAAATATCCATATAAACCACATTAAAAAAGACCCAGAGGGATCGGGTAGAGACGGAGGTGGGAGGGGGGATCAGGATGGGGAATAAATGTAAATCCATGGCTGATTCATGTCAATGTATGACAAATACCACTACAATATTCTAAAGTAATTAGCCTCCAACAAATAAAAATGAAAAAAAAAAAAAAAAAGAATTAAGAGTCCCAAAATAAAAATGATTGAATTCAACACTGTAATAAAAGCACTCTAACAGTAAAAGCTTACTCTAATACTGTCTATAGTTATTAACACTAAACTTGATACTGTGTAAATTAATTAGCTGGAATAACAAGTCAGGTTTTAAAAGAGCTCACCTGTTCTTTATGTGGTAATATATTGCTAAGGTCACACTGTGGAGGAAAAAAAAAAATTGTAATAATTGGTTTTTATCACATTAGGCCTGAAGACATTTTAAAGGGTTGGCAGAGAGGTAAGACCTTCCAGATGCCCAGTGGCCCCCACACCCTCTAATTCAGAGCAGTACCCATAGGTGCTATCCCCCATGTTTTAGGTTCTTTGGCTTTTAGCAAAATTAGGAAACCCAAAATGTAGATGTGCTCTTAGAAGACATGTATGGGCTGATTATTATAATATATAAATTATTATATATTTCCCCAGTCATTTGTCCTTCTATGCACAGAATATTTCATCCCATACAAGTTACACCATCTATCCACATGGTTAAATTAAGCCATATAGCAGATTTTGTGTGTGTGGCTTTTTATTAGGCACTGCATTTCAGTTGATTTAGTTCGGTACCCCCCTAACACATCTATTTTCCATTATTTCTCTAAAAGTAAGTAATACAAGTGCTCCATATCAAATAAAATGGATTTAAAATCACTTTCACACATAATTATTAGAAAATTTAATAGCAAAATTTTATAGTCACAAAATTGATAGGCCTAGTTATCCTGAAATAAGCACTGCTAATAAGGCAGCACAATACACTATTAATGACAGGTATTTCCACATTATTTTAAATAAAGTATTAACTAACCAACAGGTACAAGTCCTCAGATACTTTTTACATTACTATAGCCCTAAGTTATTCACAGATGCTGTGTAATAGGCAATTAAGGGGTTCTCTGGTTAAGTTATTTGCTTCCCTTTGTTCTCAGTATCTAAAATGAAACTCAAAATAAGAGAGAAGGCAAATCTGAATTTTGTTAACTTGTCTATAGAATCTTAGCATTTGCAGAAAGGCCTGTAACACTGTTAACATCAAAGATGGATACTTCTATAGTGCTTCAAAGTTTCTTCAAATTGATTTTAAAGTCACAGAATTAAAAGTTACATGATAAAAAGGGCAACTGAATCTAATATGACACTTAACCCATTTTACAAATAAGAGAATCAAGGCTTAAAATTGACCTACTCAAGGTCCCACCAATTATCAGAAGTAGTTCTCTTTCTCCTACCCTCAAAGCAGAGAGTGGTTCCCAAGGTCAGCTGCACACTGGATCACCCGGGACACTTTAAACACTGCCTGACTTCTGCTTCAAAATGTTTTGATTTAACTGCATTAGGTACAACCTGGGCAACAGGATTGTATTTAAAGCTCCCCAGGTGACTGCAACATGCAGCCAAGTCTAGGAATGAATGAGTCAGGGTTAAGATCAGAATCTCTCAGGATGCTTTTGTCTATGAAATCATGCCTCACACATCATTCCCCAGCTTGTCAAAACAGGTGTGTGTGTGAGAGAAAGAGACAGAGGGACAGACAGAGAGGCAGATAGACCCACAGACTCTTGTGTCTTGGGGACAGGGAGGAAAGGTGGAATTCATGTATGTGTTCAGAGACATACATCTTGAAAAAGTTGCATAAGTGATTCTAATAAGGCTCACCTACCCCAATGAAAACTAATCCTGTGGTATTTTTCAAAATCATTCCTAAAAGCCAATTTGCCCTATTAATTTTCTCAGTAAACCTTTATTTCATCAATAATGAATGTACTGAATGGTCATTTTTAAAACTTAATGAGAAAAAAATTTACTGTATTTCCAAACACTAAGACTAGGTTGAGAATAAAAAGCACGAAACCTACTCGTCTGAGCAAGGTTAATCTTTAAAACTACTTCTGAAATATATACTGGAACATCAGGCTCTTTTGAATTCAAAAGAAGCTGTAAGTCTAGCCACAATGAGAGTAGTTTTTAACCCCCAGATTTAGAGTCTTGGATGAATAAAAACATTCAGTGATTACGAGAGAAGTGCCAAAACTCAGGACTTCAAAGAGCAATGGGGCTCAGTTTTTGTTGAAACACGATTTGACCGAAACTAATATTATAAGAAAGTTACATTATTATGATTGTGAACTGGTTGTTTTTAATTAAAGTTAGAAGTTACTGATCATTTAAATAGCTAAAAAATAAAAAGCCTTGCACATTAAAAATGAAATTAAATTTATAAGCTAATTATATTTTTAAGACAGAAAAGTAAAATTAATGATAAGGATACTAATATTTTCAAGTAGCATTTCCCAAACTGTTCTGGAAAGTCAACATTCATATCCTAAGAAGACATTAGTTAATGTTCCATGGACAACCCCAAGGGAGGTAGGAAGGTCTGCATCCTGTTTGGTTTTTAATTCTCTCTCTTAAATAAACTTGAACGTTCCCATCATTAGGGCGTTCTGAACTGTGCATCTCCAATTGTGGACTGTGAGGGGCTTCCAGAAATTGAGGAATAATTTTCGTCATCTAACACTGTTCATGTCTTCTTAAGTATAAGCCTGACCACAGCCTTGTTTCTGAAACTTCATCTCTTTTTTTGTTCTCTGCTTTGATTGATACAGTGTGTTACAGATACACATATATAAACAAAAATTAAAAAAAAAATTAAATGTGTCTATTAAGTTAAAATCTCAGTTGAACAAATTTCATCTATGGAGAAATTAAGCTTGAGAGTATGCCCCTTAAAATGGTTTTGATATATTTTTCAACCTCTTTGGGGGAGAGGAAGAAGTAAAATTTCATACAGAAATACTGCAGAAAAAAAATGCATGGTGGGATAAATCTGACCAAGTCCAGTTAAATTTAACTGCAGATTCGCTTCGGTGCCAGTAGGGGACAAGCTGTTCCTTCTTCTAATGGTAGCTTCCAAACTAGTATACACTGTTGTAGGACTCTCCCAACTCATAAAGAAATAATTTTCTTCTAGAAACGTACAATAAAAAGGTACCTCTATTTCTCATTATGTTCAACATTGTCTTAACAATAGAAATGCATCAAATGAGATTTACATTTTTCCTGGGATTTCTTACTTGCTAACTGACTTTCCCTTCTATCATGTACTCTATGATTAAAATGGGAACTGAAGACTCATATTTAGAGGTCCTTGAAACCAACATAGAGTTGACACCAGTTTCTTAACCTGATCACTGAAAAGGACAAACCAAATGAATGAAATTATGTATGGCGAGGATGCTTTCAGCAAGAAGGGGTCTGCCACTCAGCCTTGGCAACCTAGTTGTACTCACCATTTTATTGTGGTTCTAAGATTAGGCTGGCTGACTGTGCTGTCATCTAGAAATATGGTTGAGCATGAGCTATACTTTTTAGTAAGCTGCCCTGGAGATACCTGAAGGGGAAGGGAGATAGAAGAAAATGTCACAGTAAGTTAAACCTATAAAAGTGTGTTTTTTCCTTGGTTAAAATGTCAAACGATAAAGCATTAAGATTTTCCTTACACTCCATGAACTGCTGAGTGTTGCATCAGGTGCAGCTCCATGGGAAACCTCTGTACTCTAACTTCCACAGGCAAGATCTGAGAAATGTGGTATAAACTGCTGCTCTTGAAAAAGGACCCACAAATGAACCTGGCAAGCACCTATTATAAATTGCCTTTATAATAATGTAGAAAGCTTTTAATAAGACTTCAGTGTTTCTTCCTTAAGCAATGAAATGCAGTGGAGATTTCTATTTCTATTCATTTACTACAATAAAACGCAGAGCTTTATATAATATCGATGTGAGAGCATTTCATTGCAGTAAATGAACGCCATTCATAAATGTATTAGTTTGGGAGACAGTGTGAGGAAACAAGCGTTTTTGAATCAGAGGCTGGGCATGCCAGGGCTGCTCTATCACTAGTGACCTGGAGGCCACAGATCTCTTTGAGCCTCAGTTTCCTTATCTGGAGGATGAAAGGGTACAGCTTTAAGATTCTCTCACAGCCAAGAAACAGACAAAGCAGCTCTGAGAATTTAACTTCTCACTTCATGGTTAAGTAAGACTGCCATTATATTATGCAAGGGAGAGCCTCAGAGAATACTTTCCACTCATCTCACAGTTTTATTAATTATACTCTACATGTTACCTGACACTCATGGCACTCTGCTGCCTTGCGCATTCTGCTCTCTGCCTGCAGTGGCTGCTTCTTTCTCCTTGTCCCAGCAAGCTTGACCCCATCGACCTCCAGCAAACCTCAGCCAGCAGCCACACCACCAAACATCTACCTTTCTGCACACTTACACCTCTATTTCACCCCTTGTCACATGGTCTCAACTGCTTGCCTGGTATCCCCCTCCTAAGTAAGCAAGCAAGCTCCTTCAGGTGACAGAAGATTCTTACTGCTCCTCCTCCAGCTGCTGAGCACAGAATCTGGGACAAATTAGGACTCAACAAGCATTTGACCAATTAAAGATAGATTACAACTGAATGGTAAATCATGCTAATGATACACATCAGAACTATCTGCAGTGGTGCTGGATAGGTGACAATGAACTTTGTCAGACCCTCTATAGAGAATAAACTACCTTTAAAACACTTTAGAAGTATCCATTTATTTGTGAAGAGCCCCAAAACACAGCCATAGTCAAATACTAAAATAGCCTGAACTATGTTAGGACAATTCTCTTCCTTTAAGTAAAGGCCAATAATCAAATCCCAGTCACTGTCAGTAGCTCTGAGTAATAGCATTCTTTAATACCACAGAACACAAACAGTTTTAACACTTGGTTTTGTTGGTTTTTGTTTACTAATTCAGATGAGCCTTCCTTCCTCCTGTTAATATAGTTTTCACCACGCTGTCACACTCTATCAGTGTCCTCCACAAACGCATCAAAGGTGAAACAAGGAGAAAATCTAGTCAATATTTTTTAAAATACAGAGCATTTAAATAAACACTGCCAGTAGCCAATGATAAGAACTATCCAAATGGGTGTATAAGCCACAGTTTTGCTTGTTTCAGATATTTTATGGCAAGGCCACTTACTCCTTATTAACAAAAAGTTCTAGACATAACATACCTGAAAAGTACCACTATTTGGAAGAATTTCTCCTTCAAGCTAGAAATGATTTAAACTGAAACTCATATATTCCTTAAGCTAATGTGTAATTTTAGAATCTCAAAAGAGACACAGCATGAAAACTGAACATTCATTAAAACAGTTATATTCTAAATGAAGTTATCTTTTAAAAGGTCACCACTATTAAGAGTATGACACATTACACATAGTAAAAGTCAGTTCTGACTATAAAATCTATGAGGGGAATAAAAATAGTAAGAAAATGCACCAAAATATAGACTAGTTTGTAGAGCTTTGGGTGACATTTATCCCATTTTTCTCTATTAAAACTTTTTCTTTATTATGAATTATATCTGTTTATCTTTGGAAATATTAGTGCTGAAACATTTAAGAAGTTTAATCAGACGTGGCCCTACCAACTATGGGTGCTCATTTAATCTATCAGCAACCTACAGACTACTGGCTAGATCCTACCAAAGAAAAAGTGAACACTTCTCCAGGCCTACTCCTGAAGTGATTCAAACTTTTGGCATCTACTATTCACTAAAGGATGGCAGAATTAAAGCCTCTGAGCAAAGCCTGGATGTATCAAGCTGCCAACAGGTTACTTTCCCCTCATCTCACTTTAAAATTTAAGTAACTATCCTTTATGATTAAAGCCTTATCATCGCTGGCTCAAAACCTCAATAAACTACACTGACAAAGATTAATGATATAAAATGCAAATACAAAAATCAAACAGCAATACCCGCCCACTGATAGTCTAATGTTCAATGAAGAAGAGTATTTCCCTTCATTCAGAGCTAAGGACAGAACAGATGGACTTTTACAATCTTTACAAGAAGGGAAAAGGCTTACTTAGTAGACTTCAGGCTTAATGGCAAAGACTAGAAAATCATCATACTGGAATGGAAGACTAATAAGTAACAATCCCCCCCAAAACTTATCATTAAAAGTCAAGCACCTGTTGAAATTCTGCCCCCACCCAGTGAATCTTCCCATCCTACCTATTGCCTCTGAGTTTAACCCATCAAAAAAATTAAGTTGAAATTCACTTTTTTCCTCCCCTTTCCACAAGCTTTAGATGTGTTTATTAATAATTATTAAGACTTTAACTTAAAATTTTGTAATACTCTATGCATTAGTGTGGGGCTTCCCTGGTGGCTCAGTGGATAAAGAATCCACCTGCCAATGCACGAGACACAGGTTTGATCCCTCAACTGGGAAGATCCCCTGGAGAAGGAAATAGCAACCCACTCTAGTATTCTTGCCTGGAAAAGTCCATGGACAGGGGAGCCTGGTGGGATACAGTCCCTGGGGCTGCAAAAGAGTCATGTCTGACTTAGCAACAAAAGTGCATTAGTGTAAACTACTCCATCTACATTACTGCACATTAATGTACAACGTGGCAGGATGAGGAGTTTGAATAGGATTCTTAATCAAGGCCTTAGTAGAAATGTACAGTATTCTAATTGTAGGTATAACAGAAAGTATTGTCTGAATCAGTATCATTAATTATACTGAATTAATACTTTTAAACTTAGAATTTACATTCAAAGTATAAATCCAACTTTGAGTGGACTACCACAAATCTACTTCTTTTCCCCCTTCTTTCAGAGATATCATCTCATTAGAGATAAAAGTATTTTTAAAAAAAGCCGTACCCAAGACAGGATAAACTGCAGATGATTTTTGATGTTTGAAAGATGAAAAAATGAGATAAAGGAGTGGTAACTCACGGCAGAACAGAGGAAGCACAACCTTGGAACCTACAGAGTGACTGCGCCAGGAACAACAAAACCAATCTGTCTTACAGAACCCAAGGCAGGTTCAAAATTCAGAGGCGTGGTCACCAAATCCGTGCAGTGAGGTCTATCAGTTAATGAGTTAGCAAAGTGATGCTTCCAATTAGATCTTAACAGAGAATGAGGGACCATCACATATTTGAGGGAAACCTCCAAGAAGTCACAGATCAAAGCAGGAAGAAGGAAATCGATGGGAATGATAAAAATCCAGGAGCAAATAAAAACTTAAAAAAAAAATCTTCAACATCTACAGAAAGATGAGAAACTGCATCAGTGGAAAAAAGAATGAAAGGATGGAAGAGAACTCTATAAAAATAAGGTAGACAAAACAATATATTCAATAGAAGGATTAGAGCAGAGTCAAGGAAACCTCCATGAAGTAGGACAAGAAGACAAAACGGAAAACAAGAGGGGAAAAAAATCTGTGCAGAAATATTGCTCTAAAATTTTCAACATCTGACTAACAGGAATCCAAAAGAAAAAAAATAGAAAATACCAAAGAAGCACACAAAAAAATTCACTAGAAGAAAAGATGTTCTGCGTGTTTAAAGGCCCCAGTAGAGTGACAAGGTCTATACCAAACCATGTTATGAAATTTCAAAACCCCACAAAGACAGAGGGTACTACAAGGTTCCACAGGAGGAAGGAATGGAGAAAAAACTAACTTGGTAATATACAATGTATCAAATTCAATAGATTTAAGAGCAACACTGTAAATGAGAAGACAAGAGGGAAATGTCTCTAAAACTGCAAAAATTAGTTTCAACCTAGAATTCTACACTTTATCAAACAGAAGGAGTTTCAAAGAGGCTAGGTCTTTATAAAATTTTTGCCCATGTGCCTTTTTGCAGGAAAATGTGCTCCAGTAAAACAAGGGAGTATAACAAGATAGAGGGAAACAGAATCTAGGACATAGGGGATCCAACTCGAGAGAGCAGTGATGTGAGATCCCAGGTGACTTCACACAGATATCCCAGGAAAACAGGCACAGAGCCAGTCCAGGAAACATTAGTATGTAGGGAGTAGGAAGACAAAAGGTTGGCGAAGAGTGTCTCCAAGAAGAAATGGAACAGATGTGGTTTTGTGGATGGTAAATATTTTTGATAGGCATGTGACAAATGTTACAACATTTGGGGGAAAAAACAGCTATTAGAAAACAGGCAAGTGAATATAGTCAGGAAATTAATTCCACAGAAAAAAATGAAGAATGTGAAAACAGGGAGACTGGCCAGGGAGCTACTCAACTATGTTTGGCTGTGTGAGATCATGTTTGCTAGAAAAAGCAGAATTGGATTATCCTGAAAAGTGTAGAAGTGCTCAGATTTCATTAATATTGAAGAAAAAGAATGAAAGGTGTACAAGGAGGTGACACAGAGAACTATATGGCTCAGCAATGAACAATACTTGCTTAGTCATAATAATGTAAACAGTGATTCTGATTTAATAAAAACTGGTGCATGTAAAGGGAACAGAAGGAGGGAAATAAAATCACGGTGGACGAGGAAGTTAAGCTTTTACCTGTTGTGCCAAGAAGTCAATGGACGGTGCTAAAAATTAAATTACCTATTACACTTTTATTACTTTGGTTAAAAACTAAGATAAAAAATTTAAGGCAAAAGAATTTAAGGTAGATCTTTATACTATAACCATATTATTGAAATTTAACTTAAATGTCAGGACCCTTAAACAAAAAAAAGGAAACTACTAAGTCAAAAACCTTTCTGAATATACTTGATAATTAGGAACTAGAGATTCAGAAAATTTATAAATAAGAGGTCAATGCTAACAGTATTGGATCCATCATACTTTTTAGGAATCATGGCAGACATGCTTTTAATTAATCAAACTATTGATTTCTTAACTTTTCAACTATTTACTTACATGGTTTAAATGGTTGCTCTTCCTCTTTTCTCTCACTAAGAATAAAAAAAATTAACTGATGAATTCCAATTCAAATACCATAGAAAAATAAGTCACTAATTATCTGATGGATTACCAATATACACAATGAGTTAAAATTTCATTCTATTTTTTAAAATAATTTCCAACAAAATATATAATTTAAACCACCCAGCAAAATGAATCCTATAAATAATATCTAAAAACTTAGTTTTACTATTTGACTAATACTAACAGATACTCTGTATTAGGTACAAATCAAAGACTCTCCATTTACAAAAGAAAAGGACAAAGCAAATTAGGCCAGGTAAGATATTTAGCTAATAAAAAATTTACCAGCTGCACAGTATGTAGTATTTTCTAGTTCTACATGTACTTTAGTCACCAAGATTAACAGATGACAACCCTAAGTTCCAGTTTCTGGTCAAGCACCCGTGTCTCTGGAAGCATCCTGAACCACTTATTGGTCACCTACTCAAAACACCCAACTTAAAAAATACAGGTTCTTTACACACTGGAAAGTAATCTATAAATTTTAACATGTGTGCTGACCTCACTGAACATACATCGACAGCACATAGAACTGTTTTGCTCCAAAAAAGGCCAGAAGAATATAAGCTCAAAGAGGATCTTAGGCCACACACTTTCCCATGGCATCACAAGCACGAATTCCTTTAGACTGAGGAGAGACAGGGGTGTGGGATAGTGTTTCTTTTACTCTCTCCACCGTCCCTCTACAGTGTGAGCAGCTCATGACTCTGGAAAAGACTGAGAAATACAGTAATCCTAACCAAAAATAACTGCCTCAAGACAAAGTACACACACTTTAAGAAAATGCAAACTAGAAACCCCAGGAGCTCCCAGGTTAGAGAACATGTGGTGCACTCTGGGCCCTGCCCCCACGCCTGGCCCTCTTCCGTCTGGCTGTTCCTGAGACAGACCCTTTGATAAAAACCAGTAATCTAATGAAAATAAAAGAGGGAAAGAACCCTCTATTTTTTACTGTGCTGCATTACTTCAAATATTATAGAACGTTCACTTCTGGTATTCCTGCTCTCATAAACAACCGAAAAACCTCATCATATATGGCTTTTTAGCAAATAAACTAGGATTTAACATATATTAAGGAAGACAAGCAGGCAAGACAAGCAGGAGTGCAAAACCTTCTGATTCTCATCTTAAAACAAGCAGGACACCAGAAATGTACACAAGGTTTCCCATACTGAGGATAACCTTCTGGAAAATCCCATAAGGCAGGCACATTGGTCTGATTACCCTGGCCCAGCACTACATCAGGATGAGAGAACTTTGAAGAGCTAAAAGTTCTTATAAGAACTTTTAAAAGAACTTAAAAATTCACATGAATCTGGATGTGAGAGAGGTTCACCTGGTTGAGCACTGTGCAATATGGTGCCAAAATCACAAGACTCGATTCCCATACATAACAACTGATTATGAAAACCTAACTGTGACCTAAACCATATCATTCATCTTTAACTCATGTGCTCTTGGAGCAAAAGGAAAAAGACAAAGTAGCATGGAAAAACAGACCACAACTAAATCATGTGGCAAGCTGACTGTTGATAAAGAAATAGCAAAGTTTTTAAACAGATGGTCTAAGTGTTTCTCCTCATTAAAACAGTGACACCTAAATGAAAAATGTATCATCACATATTAAAATAAAACATCACATATTAAAATATTATCACATATAAAAAAAAATTTAAACCATTCTAAGTATTTTTCTGTATCTTCCCATAATACACAAAACAAAAACAGTTTTCAATCTTTTTCTCAGGGCGGAAACACACTGTCTTACCGTCCGTTTGAGATTTGCTCAGGAAAATTGTGCTTGCCCTTGGGTGGTCAGAAGGGTTTGATTCCAAAGCTAAGTCTGCACAGGAAAAAGAGAAAAAGGTGTGACAATTTAGTTGAGTAGAAAAAGACATGACTTTTAAAACAGCTACACGTTGATTTTAATCAAGTTTAATAGTCTTAAGAACAGCATTTAGTAATGACAAGAAGGAAACTGTAGTAAAGGCAACAATATAAAAATTCTATTGGGAAGCAGAAAAATTGTAGAAATTCTCCATACATGTGGAATAAAACCAGGGCTATGTCTTAGGCTTTTTTTTTTAACTTGCACCTAATGTATGCCACTTTTAGGCGAATCATGTATGTGATCCCCCTCCTACTTATTGATTAAAAATTCAGTCACCTCTCTTTAAGCTGATATTACTAGCACATTTCAGGAAGTCTCAAGAAGCAAGTTATGCTGTAGTCAATTACTATCAGATACCAGCTCAATCAATCAAATACGCTATAACCAAATGAGCTGTTTTTGGCAAATGTTCTTCAGACAATCTAATGGCTAATTCCAACTACACTCAACAAACGAACTCATTTAGTTGGCTGCCGTTTATCTAGGGGCTATTCATCATGGCAGATTAAAGAGGATTACGTAAGAGTTCAATGTTCTGATCCACAGGAACACTTCCAGGATAGTGAGTTTTAACTTTGCCCTCTATTTCCAAAGCTAAACTCTCACTTCTTCCTTTCATGCTGCATGATTAATAGAGGGCTTCAGTAAGAGTACTTCCTGGAGCACATCAAAGGGCTGCTTGAAAAAAATTTTGCCCATACCTACGTAAAAAAGGTGGGTCTGCTGACAGTTCACCGTGCACCAAGGTGGGACAGTCTTCTATTTAGGCAGAAATATCAAGCAAGCACAAGCTGCCACGCTGGACAATAAGGTTGTTGTTTAAAACAAACATAAAAGCCCTATGGGCAGTTACTCAGTGAAGTCCACCTCAAACCAATTAAACAATCTTTTAAGAAACTGGACCAAGATTTTTAAAGAGCAACAGTTAAGGCAGTATTTCCCAAACCACATAATAATTGGCCTATTTTTAAAGGGGACTTTGGTGGTCAACGTGATTTACACATTATCCCTGAGAATCAAAAGAATATATACATTGATATATTAAAAACTAACCATGTGTTCCCCATCCCGTATGGCAAAAACTACTACAATATTGTAAAGTAATTAGCTTCCAACTAATAAAAATAAATGAAAAAATAAATAAGTAAAAACTAACCAGCCCCATAGTGAATTCTGTCTAACCCAGCATTTCACAAATGTTATCTACCTAGAATCCTTTTCTTCCCCAAAGAAAGAATTTTGCATGAATAGTAATTTGGGACTTCCTGGTTTAATGGGAATTTTAATGTTACTGCCAGCACTATAAATTTACATAGCTAAACCGACTGCTTTGTTCTTCGTGAAAATTCCTTCACTGCATTTGGAGTTTATTAAGCTGTTTTTGGAGATAAGCTGTTTTTGGAGAAAATATTCTACTCAACAGTTTTATGTAAAAGACCCATAAAATTATTTTAAAGTTTTTTCCCCCCTACATATTTGAAAAGTGGGACACTGGGAAAATAAGTTATTTCAGTTATACACAAAGTTGACAGGCAGAGACTTTCGACCTAAGGCTTCTGAAAGGATTCATGACTACTTACCTGTACCAGAAAGTAAACAGACTACACTGGAATCTAAAAAATAAGCAGAAATGCTTGCAAAGTAGCCATATTTTTCATCAGGGTTTATGGAATGGTAAAATTTAACAAGAGTCAATGGAAGTCCAGGAAAAATAAGTGTCAGGATCAAAGAGAAGCAAGCTTTAACACACACACACACACACACACACACACCACCACCACCACCACCACCACCACCACCACCACCCTCCCCAGCCAAACCAGGATGTGCTACAGGTATGCTATGATGTGCTACTACGGATATACAGAAAGCAAGAAGGCTGGGATAAAAGAAATGACAACATGCAGGAAAAAAGTAAACTTGCCCAAGTGATCAGAAAAGAGCTGGCACTCCCCCTACCCTACCCTAGAGGTTTCAAGGGTGGGCACATGACCCAGAACTGGCTGATAGATCACAGCTTTCCTGGAACTTCCCAAGAAGCAGAAAAAGGCAGAGCGGTCCCCTAGGATCCTTAGCTAGTCTGAAGCTGCTGGACACTCCTCTTGCCATCATGAGGGGAAAGGCTTTTCAGGAGAGATCAATAGAGGAGAGCAGAACTGAGACAGGCTGTGAGGTCATTAAACTCCTGGGTGAAGTACTGCTTAATTTACTCATTCAAGTCCAGTTATATAAAAGTCAATATATATATATTTTAATATAAGCTATTCCGAGACATTTTCTCAAACTTGTAACTGAAAGAGACCTGGTTAACCAGCAGTACTGATGATCACAATGAAGGTGGGGAAAGGTAAAAGTCACTTGCTCATTCCTTTAACAAATGTCATGAACAAAAATTTGCATGAGCCAAAATGACCCTATTTGAACCCACAGATTTACAACCCTTACTTTTTGTTGTTTTCCTTATACATTAGAAAAAGCTCTAATTAGTGTATAAGTTACGTCTTCTTGTTACTAACAACCCTTCTACATCTGACTGTTGCATATTTACTGTTTAATGAATACACAACAGCCCATCAAGCGTTATTCCTGTGCTGTACTTAGCCAATCCCCTATTGTTGGGGTTTAGGTACTTACAACGTTCTATTCTTTGATGAGGAAACTTTTCATCTATTGTTATACAGCTTTTTAAATAAATAATGGTTTTATCTCCTTAGCAAAGATCTTCAAAAGTGGGATGTCTAAGCCAAAAGGTTAGATCATTTTCATGGCTCAAGGTACAGTGCTAAACTGCTTCCTGAAGGAGGTGGGGCCACATTAACGTATAATACTACCAATCATGATAGTTTTAGTTCCTGCCCCTTCTCTGTATAGTTGAGGGGCGGGGGGAAGTCCTACTAATAGAAATAAGGAACAGCACTGTATTATCTAATCTGTATTTCTCTCTATTACACAATTTTTACTACTTTCCCATAATTATCAGCATCATTTCCACTTTGGTGAGCTGCCTATCATTCATACATACTAAACATACCAGGGCCTTACTGCTGTCAATTTGCATGAGGTTTTCAGAAAATATTAATCTTCTGTTTACAGCCTATATAACAATTTTCTATACAACTTGCACTTTTTGCCAGTGAAAACTACATCACTATTTTATAATAGACTTGACAGGTAAGCCATTAGACAGTAAACTCATACATACACACAATATTTCTACATGCTCCATTAACTTTTGCCAAGAGTCTAAGGAGACGATGAAAAAAATATACTGTACTCTTCACTGTCATAAAGGTAAGACTGTCAACTCTGAAGCAAAGCATTACCACCCACCCTTCCCCTCAGCCCCTCTCCCACAACAAGCACACACAGTAATGTTTAAGGTATTTTGAGAAATTACTGTGCATTTTATATGTGAATTCTTCCTAAAATTACTTCTTTAGCAATCTTTAATAAAGAATGTTTTAACCCAGGAGAAATATTCTTGAGCTGATGATTAGGGGTTATCATTAAAGTTATATTTTAAGACTCATCACTTTTATATTACCAATTTAAATTCCAACTTACTTGACAGCATGATAGACTTATGTGGAAAAAGGATGACTAAAAAAAATTAAGTTCAGGTCTTAATATAAACACTCCCATGAGGAAACCTGTAAAATACCAGGTCACTGAACATTACTTTTCCTCCAACCTAACATTCTATAAATCATGAGATCCATCTCAACTGCAGATGTTAAAAATATGAAAATAAAGGCAACTTAGAACAAACAAAATGCATTACCGAAGCCTAAAAGTGTTAAAATTATGCTGTCAAACTGTCAATAAATGATTTTCCCCTGTCAAAATATCAGAAAGAGGCTAGTGACCAAGAAATCATCTGACAGGAGACTAATGCCAACACATTGACTTCAGTTCAGTTCAGTTCAGTCAGTCGAGTCTGACTCTCTGCAATCCCGTGAATCACAGCATGCCAGGCAATCCCATGAATCGCAGCATGCCAGGCCTCCCTGTCCATCACCAACTCCCGGAATCCACCCAAACCCTTGTGCATTGTGTTGGTGATGCCATCCAACCATCTCATCCTCTGTCATCCCCTTCTCTGCCTGCCCTCAATCTTTCCCAGCATCAGGGTCTTTTCAAATGAGTCAGCTCTTCACATCAGGTGGCCAAAGTAATGGAGTTTCAGCTTCCAACATCAGTCCGTCCAATGAACACCCAGGACTGATCTCCTTTAGGATGGACCGGCTGGATCTCCTTGCAGTCCAAGGACTCTCAAGAGTCTTCTCCAACATCACAGTTCAAAAGCATCAATTCTTCAGCGCTCAGCTTTCTGTATAGTCCAACTCTTACATCCACACGACCACTGAAAAACCATGGCCTTGACTAGATGGACCTTTGTTGGCAAAGTAATGTCTCTGCTTTTTAGTATGCTGTCTAGGTTGGTCATAACTTTCCTTCTAAGAAGCAAGCGTCTTTTAATTTCATGGCTGCAATCACCATCTGCAGTGATTTTGGAGCCCAGAAAAATAAAGTCAGCCACTGTTTCCACATCTATTTGTCATGAAGTGATGGGACTGGATGCCATGATCTTAGTTTTCTGAATGTTGAGCTTTAAGCCAACTTTTTCACTCTCCTCTTTCACCTTCATCAAGAGGCTCCTTAGTTCTTCTTCACTTAATATATTGCAATTAAACAGGACTGTCAGCATTTTCTGGGCCAACTTCTGGGCTCCAGTTTACTTAAAGGTTTACTCCCATTTACTGAACTGCCCTATCATCCCTAGTAGTACAGTATATTAGTTTTATGGCTAATAATACATTTCATGTCTTACACTCATCCGGTGATTTCATCTGAGTCCACACTTTACACCCTAGCCAAGCGGTTCTTGCCAGCCAATGCTGACCTGGGCTGTCTCACCAGAGGGCACATAGCATGCTCCTGCAACCCCCTCA